CAAGTCACCCTGGCGCCCCGCAAGAGTCCCCAGAACAAGTTTTTCAAGACCTGAGGTCAGTGGAGGAAGGGGGGAGTGTTAACTTTTCGAGAAAGCACTCATAGCATCTCAGTTTAGGGTCTCCTCCCCCCTGAATTTCTGTGTAAACATTAGCTTGGAGCAGCGCTGCAAGGACAGAAACAAGGAGATGATGGACGAATGAGTTCATGAATCACCTGATTACTTCCATACAGAAGGGAAATGTTTCTTAGGTTCACAGAGTTAGGAGGGGAAAGAATCGTGTGACTAAACCTCACGGTGCGCTTGATAGAGGAGGTGCATTACCCATACAGTAAGGCGTCTCATTCAAGTGCAGTTGTTCAATCAGGATGAAAGCTGACTCCGGCGGAAAATAAAATTTAGTTTTCAGTTTGTACCTTTACACCCTTGATGGCCATAGGGGAGATTGGCAACTACATGGGAGTGTTCTGGGTGCTCGAGAGCCCTGCAGGTATCAGCGGGGAGGCTTTGGAGGTTACCTGGCTTCAGAACTAACGGGAGTCCCCCTGTTGTATGCTGATGGCTCAGCCCTGGAGAAGCCCCTTTCGGAGGACAGCCTGTCACAGCAAACGCTCTGGGTCTTCACAAAACTGAAACTAAGGAGATTTAAGATCATTCAACCGTAAGGTGCTGGTTCTCAATCTTTAAACATCTGAATGGATTTCCTATCCGGCCTGCCCTGGAATGGGTTAGGTCAGATGGTTTGGGGGTGCTGTCCATAATAAGTTGGGTGATGATTCAAGCCAGTAGGGAGGCGGAGAAGGAACCCATCAGGCAGATAGTGAGATTCAGGGACATTAAAATCTGTGATTAGAAAGAGAAATGCACGACGTGGCCATGGTAGTGGGAAGGGGTTAGCGAGGGTTAAGTGGGAAAGCGCTTACCAGTCAATTTGAAGCTGCCAAGTTGAAGATAAAATTGATTGCCAGAGAGGCTGACTTTGGATTTGTCGGGAGCAGCAGGAGAGTTCCCTTGAAGGAGTGAGATGAATGAGCAAGACTCACAGCTCAGTGCTGCCTCTTTTTAAAGACTGCCTGGTTAGGGACTGCCCTAGCAGGGAACTAGAGGGGCAGATCTTTTCTCCAAACATTCACTGAAACCTGACTCTGTGCTAGGAGCTGTAATGAATGAAAATAATAACTGAGACAAGTCGCTGCTCTGGGAGAGCAAGGGGTCAGCAATTTTGTACAATACAGTGCGGTGTCACAGAGGTAGATGCAAGCTGCTAAGGCAAGCAGAGGGAGGCAGTAGTTATTTTTAATGCACAGAAGTACTCAGTCATATTAGAAACATTCTTTTCCTCTCATCTTTCTCTTAGAATTTTGTTCATGGTCACTGTCTGAAATACAACAGGGTTGCCCACAGTATACTTATCATGTTCCACTACTTTTTCTTAAAGGTGACCCCTGGGGAGACTTGTTCTTCATTTGACAGCCTTATCACTGAACATTTTCCATAATCTGAGAGAATCAAGGTTTTCAAACACAGAGTTTGTTCGGAGAAATTTTGCTCAGTTTCTTAATTGGCGTACTTTGGGGCTAAACTTTTGAGATAATTTTGGATGTTGAATATAGATGGAAAGATGTGTGTTTTTACTGGGAGAATGGAATAAGAAAGTAAATTGCGTATTGTTGTGTGACAGATTACCCCCAAATTTAGCAGCTGAGTTAGACTAACTCAGTTAAAATTAGAGCCAGGAGGTTATGAAGGAGAACTCATACCTACTTGTCTAAAATTAGTACTGACTCAGAGATTGTCCAAAATCCCCACTAGAAGTACCTTGTTTTACACACTACTTCTATACATAGATTTTTGTAACAGTGTTTACATTTAACATGCTTAAGATTACACCAATTCAGGTAAGGTATTCAGGAGAGAACACACTTGTCCAGCAATGCATTTCCACCTATAGCTGTCACCAGTTCTTGCCTCGGGTCTGCAAGACAATTTATATAATGTCCAAGCATTTATGCAAATTTCTCTTTTTGCAAATAAAACTTCCCTTTCCCTGTCTTCCTGGAGTGCATCTGTGGGTTGCTGTAGTTTGCATCTTGGACTATATCATTTTATGCTTACTCCCAAATAAAATTTTCATACTTGAGGATATTTTTCTCTGTTGTCTGCTCACAATCTGTTATGGTTTATATCTAAATATCCCCCCAAAGCCTCAGGCAGTCATAGGGATTTTTTGGAGGTGGCTGACTCTAGCGTGTGTGATTGATTTGTAGTGCAAAGATGAGATTAAAGGTGCTGGGACTAAGGGTGGGTGATTGCAGTTCAGTCCATTGATTAGATTGGCACCACTCTAATCTCAGTAGACTGGATATAATATAAGGGAGAGAAAGAGGCTTGTCTCATGCTCTCTTGTTGCTTTTGTTGTCTTCTGCCACCATGAATGGTTGCCCCTCTTCTATGGGATGACTGCCTTGGAGCCAGCTAATTATGGACTGAAACCTCCACAAAGTGTGAGTTAAATAAACCTTTTCTCCTTTAACTTTGGGTGTCAGATATTTTATCTCTGCAATGAGAAAAGTAACAGACATTTTTTGGTACCAGAGAAGTGGGGTCATTGCTGCGACATTACCTGGACATGTGGTTCAGGCAACTTTAGACCTGACCTGTGAGAAGGGGAAAGGTTAGGAAAAGTTAGGAGATGCTGGTTGAAAAATTAGTGCTAGAATGCCTTAGACTGTTCTGTATGTCAGATTCTGGTCAGAGCTCAGACCAAAAGGCTGATAGAAATTCTGGCAGTAAAGACCAGGCTCTGGAGTTTTCTGCTGGGAAGAAGGACTTCACTGATAGTTGGAATTCAGATGATGTGTGCTATGGTTTGGCAGAAAGTTTGTTTGCATTTTACTCATGTCCAGAGACTTTGCCTGAGACTAAGATTAAGGGTAGCAGACAAATTAATTTCACAGAAGGAATTTCAAGACTTTCTAATGTGGAAGCAGTGGGATAGCTTCTGTTGGCAACTTTTAGCAAGATTTATGTTGAGAATCAAGAGCAGGAGGCCTAGCAGAATGGTATAAAATGTTATTGAATTTGACCAGAAAGGAAGCTCAACAAATTTGTATACTGTAAGGCTAGAGCAGAAGAGTCTTGTTTGCTGAGAAGGAACAGGAGAATAGAAAAGATGGTCTGAAGGCATTACAAGAAGCAGCAGGACCCCACCTGTTGTAGCCTTAAAATTACAAAAGTGAGACTTTCCTTTGAGAATAAAGCCCCAGAACATCATGTTCCAGAATGGTGGCAGCCAAGAGAATTTCTTCCTTCAAATTGTATGCAGAGTGCTCAGTGATCCAGGCACTTGATACCTGCAGCCAGACAGGAGGGAGGAAAGCCTAGCACTGGGCAGCAGACCTTGGCATCATCCATATGGTGCTGGTTTTACATGCATGCAGAAATGGAAGAGTTGTGGGGTCAGGAAGGCTTCCACCCAGATTTCAGTAGGTCTGGGAGGCCAGACAGTGTGTCCTTGAGAGGGCAGTGTATAAAGCTGTGAGTATGAACCCAAAGGTGCAGTGGAGACCCCAGAAGTTTGGAGAAACTAGATCTTGGATCATATGAGGAAAATTGCAAGGAGGGAGCAGAGTGGACCCAAGAGAGAAGCCATGGGAGTTGCAACCAGTGGAAGTGCTATAGAGGCAGAGCCACACCAGCCCTTTGGAGTTCACATCTTGCCACAGATTGCTTCTGACAGTGGATAGGGAACTACAGGACTTAAGGTCTGCCATGCTAGATATTGGACTTGCTCTGGCCCCATTCCTTTGTGTCCCCATTTGTAAATTTTGGAAAGGAATTGTATATCTTGTGCCACTGAATGTTGGAAATGTTTAATTTTCTTTTTATTTGAATAGGGGCTCACAGCTGGCAGTTTACCTTTTCAGCAATGCTGAAACTGTTAGGACTTTGGCACCTCTTCTAAATGGACTAAATGCCTTTTACATAAAGGGATGTGCATGAGTCTTTGGGAGACCAGGGGCAGAACGTTATTATTTGTGTCTGGATGTCCCCTTAAAGCCTCATGCATAGGGGTTTTTTGGACATGACTGACTCTAGAGTGTGTGATTGATTTGTAGTGCAAAGATGAGATTAAAGGTGCTGGGACTAAGGGTGGATGATTGTTGGATCAGTCCATTGATTAGATTGGCACCACCCTAATCTCAGAAGACTGGATATAATATAAGGGAGAGAAAGAGGCTTGTCTTATGCTTTCTTGATGCTTTTGTTGTCTTCTGCCACCATGAATGGTTGACCCTCTGCCATGTGCCACTCTGCCTTGGAGCCAGCTGATTATAGATTGAAACCTCCACAAACTGTGAGCTAAATAAAACTTTCTTCTTTTAACTTTGGATGTTGAGTATTTTATCATAGCAATGAGAAAAGTACCTAAGACAGTTTCTGCACTTATTTTGGAAGATGGGGCATAGTTCAGTATGGAAAAGAAGCTAACATCAAATACTTATCTCATAATTTCCCTGGAGCAGGAATACAAGAACTATTTAGCTGGTGGCTGATGTTTAGGCCATCTCAAGAAATCACTGTCAAGATACTTGTTGCAGCTATAACCATCTGAAATCTTCACTAGGACAGGAAGAACTACTTCCAAAGTGGCTCATTCACATGATGTATTAGTTTCATATAACTGCTATGACTAAGTACCCATAACAGAATGCCTAAGCATAACAGATATTTATTGTTTCACATTTCAGGTAACTAGATGATATAGGTAAAAGTAGGTCTGGTTCTTTTGAAAACTGTGAAAAAGTATCTATTTCATGCCACTTTTCTAGATTTCAGTGGTTTGCATGCACCCTGGTATTTGTTGGCTTGTTGTTGCATCTCTGATTTACACTTTCATCTTCACATGCTCTTTTCTTTGTGTATATGTTTGTGTCCCCTTTCCCTTCCTTATATGAGCATCAATCATATTGGATTAGGGCTCACCTTAAGTGACTATTTTACATGATTACTACTGCACAATGCAGTCTTGAAATAAGGTCACATTCTGTAGTCAAAGGAATTAGGTCTCTGACTTGTCTGTTTTTGGAAAGCAGAACTTTGTCTATAGTGCATCACTGTCAGCAGAGGACCGCTTGCTGGCTTTTTTAGGAGGTCTCAGTTATTTTCATGTGATTCTTTTCATAGGTTTGCTTGAGTGTCTCCATGGATTTGTTTTCTTCACAGTGAGTGATCTAAGAGAAAGAGGAGAAACTCTCAATATCTTTTATCATCTACTGTCACATAGTACCACTTTTACCATATTGTACTCATTAGAAGTGAGTCATTAAGTCCTATCCACACTCAAAGGAATCAGGCTGTGTTTTTTGAAGGAGTGAAAGCTGTGTAATCTGGGGGCATATTTTTAAAGCTAACACTGAAGTGAATCACAGTTAAATCAAACCAGGTAGAAATATTTGTCAGGATAGCGAATGAGATTCAAGTTGGTATAGAGTCATAACTATGCTACTTGGTATAAATGAGTCAGGCATTGAAATAAAAAAGGAGGAACTGAGTAGTTGTACAAGTAAAGGCAGTTGTCAGTGACACTGAACAGAATAACAGTTACTGTATATAAAAAAGAATTCTGGGAGGA